GTTAATTAACATTAATATGACTTACATGGCTTAAGACCTATCTTTGGGTTTAGCAGCGCTCTAGGAATAATTTAAAAGATGAGCTATTGCTCCCTTTGGGATTTTGACTTGAATCCACTAAAGGCAATGGGTGTCCTTGAACTGGCTAAGAAGGCTCTGGGTCAGGAGGCAATTTCTGAGCAGTTTCCTGGCTCTTCATTCTGCTTTGTGATGGCTTCTTTATGCTGGGCTGTATATCAGGGCCCTGCAGAGCAAACCTCTTAACATCCCTTTGCTGTTCTGGACCCTGAGGCAATGAGCCATGTGTTTTTTTTGATGATCATATGAAGATTCAATCTATTTTTAGGGCAATCTTGTTGCCAGGAATAATTTCTAGGACTTCTGATTTGAATGGTGAATAATGTGTCCATGTAAAAGCCTGAAATGGGTATTTAAAAATACTTTTTCCTGACTTAATGTTTTACAGATTAACACCTCTAATGCTGTTACAAAAAAAGCAATTTTATTTTCTATCTATTTTGAATTTTTGATTGGTGTCATTGGAGACTTCTAGGCCAACACCACAACTTTGGTTTCAAAGCCCCAAGCAGATGTAAGTCAGTACATTTAACAGATGAACAGGAAGGTGAGGAAGAAACCACACCCAGTGAATTTTGTACAACCTTTTTCCAGCTTCAATGCAAATATTTTTATTTCATGTTCAGTATTCTGTGTAATGTGCCCCAATGCACTGACCTCTGTAATTCTCAGTGGTTCCCCATCCAGGGCTTGAGGAGTGCATTGATTTTCCTTCCATCATGCAATAAGCACGAGTCTCACATCCAGACCATATTGACACCTTAAACCCCATTTAAATAAATCAAAGGGGGCATTTGGGTATTCTCCCACTTGCCTGTAGGTTGATGGAAGAATAGATTGCTTTAATACCTCAGTGATTTATTTGTCAGTACAGACAGCCTGTCATAAAAATAATCAGTATCAGAAATGTTCTTTGGAAGAATCATTTGGGCTATCAATATCTTGGGTGGCTTAATCATCAAATTCATTGCTTTTATTAGGTTTAAATGTATAAGTTCCTTTTAGAATGGATTTGAACTTTTAAAGCATTTTACTGTTTAGTTGATTGCTTTTTCAAGTATTTCAGTTTCTGAATAGCTCCACAGTATTTGGATTTGCACAAAAGTAAGGAGGAAAAGGCCGAGAAGGATATTTTCTTCAGAATTGTCTCTAATGGCTCTACTTTCTTCTCTTTCTCTAGGTACAACAATGGTGGCACCTGTGCTGTTCCAGTGGATTCTGAGAGGGCTTATTCTGACTTTCCTGCTCAAAACTACTCTGTCCCTAAATCCAGATGATCCAAATGTTTGTAGTCACTGGGAAAGGTAACGTGTAACCTGCCTACTTTTATTTTTTTAATCATCCATTTCATATTTTTACATTTAGAAGGCAAGCTGAGAGCCATAATTTGGTAAATACCACCACATCTTCAAAAAGAGATTTGCTTTAGAGAAAAAGTGCTTTGGAGTGCCTTGGAGGGTTTGGATCATCCCAAGGAATTGGTCCTAAGGCTGCAGCTATTGCCCACATCCCCCTGTGCCGTTTGGAAAGCTCCTCCAGAGTCTGAGCAACAGGAGTGCACTGAAGTGTTTGCATCCATCATGCAGAGAGCCACAGAAATGCTGGCCTTGTTCTGTCCTGCTTTTTTCTGCTTGTTGTCCAGCAAGAAAGTTTGAAGCTCTTCCTGCTGCAACATCCTGGCTGTTTTTGTCTGGCCTGAACTTCAGGGCTCTTCCTGCCAAATTCATTTCAGCATCAGAGAGCAAATGAAAGCACTGAACATGAAAGGCTCTGGAATTTCTTGTTCTCTCTCTTGTTCCAGTGTCCTGGTCCTAAAAGTGGATCTGAGCAGGCCAGTTCCTGTGAGCATAGAGAAACCCACAGCCTTTGATGGGGTTCACGCTCAACAGGGGCTGTTTGCAGAGGCTAAAGGTCCTGTACTTCTCAGTTGAACTTGCTACATTTCCAGTCCTGCTCTCTGGTTCAATTCCACACAAATGTGAATTGCTGTACACTTCAGCAAAATACACCCCTTAACAAAGGTAAAAATAGAATCGTCTTTAATGACTATGTTTTGAGGCCTTAATTAGAGAATTAACTCATTGTAGATAATGCAACTGCAAAGCAAAAACTGTGCAGGAAAAGGATTTTGCAGTCTGCGTGCTGGAAGTGCATTCAGAGCACAGGAATAAAATATTGATTTTGTCTGAAGAAAGTCAGCAACCTAGAGACCCAATCAAGGAGAAACAAAAATTAAATACCAAAATTGATTGGTTGTACTGACCAAGATGACTTTGTTAGTTAGATGTTAATAAATCAAAGGGAAAAGATTGTTAGGGCTATTGCTGGATAATAAACGGGATCGTAAAATAATAATTGAGATTTGCAAGTGTTACTGTCTTACATTAATAATGAGCCATGTAAATATTTTATATTTTGGCATTAGCAGAAGTAAAAACATTATTGTCAAAGCCAGCAAAGAGGGCAAAGCAGCATCCAGGGAAACCTTGGCTTGTCAGAGGGGACACAACAAGCAGGGCAGGAACAGCCCAATCTTCGATTTCAGGCCACTCAACCCCTCCAAGCAAATATCTTGGTATTGCCTTGTGGGTGCAATCTCCCAGGGCTTAATCACATCTGCAGTCCTGCTGATGAGAGGGAAATCAGCTGCAGAATTAAGACAATCCATATAATGAGTGACCTAGAGGATCTAATTCCTGGGTCTTGACCTGCCTAGGGTGTTTTGTGTGTTGTTCTCCAAAGATGTTGTAGGTCTGATAAAGTGGGCCCTGTGTCCAGGTCAGCACCTGACAGAGGAGTCCTTGAGCAGTGCACACACCTGCTGTGGGGCACTGCTCTGCTGCCACTGACCCCAGCATGAGATTTGGGTTCTTGGATCACATCAGAGGCCCAAACACTAATGAACATAGAACCTGTTGCATGGCTCAATGGTGGTTTTGGATGGATTGCTCAGTTCTTGCTATTGTTGGAGCTCTGTGATTTCTCACCAAATTGCCCAGGTCTTGACCATATCCATGTACTTTTCTCCTTCTAAATTTCCACAAATTTTAGAAATATTTGGTTTTTTTCCTAAAAGAGAATGGTTTATTTCTCACAGAGATATCTCTATGCCTATATCACGACGCCAAACATTTCCAAACTTCAGGAAGAGGTCTAACAGAAGGAAGCCCTTTTCTGCTCTTTGCTGATACCCACATTTCTAAGATTCTTGATGTAAATATGTTTCATACTGGAGTTCCATGAGCAACAGATACAGGGAACTGCAGCTTCTCACAGCCTCTCACCTCTTTCCTTGTCCACCCTCAGCTACGCCGTGACCGTGCAGGAATCCTACGCTCACCCCTTTGACCAGATCTACTACACACGATGCACAGACATCCTCAACTGGTTCAAGTGCACCAGGCACAGGTAAGAGCTCATCCTCAGAAACCTGAGCTTCCTGCTGCCCTCTCATCTCCTCACACACCCCTTGTTTATCCAAATGTTTGTGGTGCTCCAATGTAGATGTGTACACAAAGATGTGTGTTTGGAATTCCAGGGCGTTGAGTAGGAATACAGAGATTTTTGCCTGAAGTTTGAATGAGATAAGTGACAGTCAGTCCCCCATGAGGCCATCCAGGAGAATGTATCATTCCACTGCCTTGCCATGGGATTGGAAGTGTCTATTCCCTAACCAGACATGACCAACTCTCTTTTCCAAGTGACTGGTGCATGTCCAGGTTTGCTGAAGGAAGTTCATGCGCCTCCTAAATTGTAAATAATGAGGCATTTGAGTGATAATTAGAAATGGATCTGTGTTAGAATTAGGGTACCCAAATCTGCACTGAAAATCAGGTAAAAAGAAGATGAGACCCATCTGTTTCTAGGACTGAATGAAAACTTGTACCAAAGAGTTAATTTTTCCCAGGCTGCAGGATATTTCTGTTCTATTCATTCTGCTTCCAAAGTATCCTAACAAATATCCACTAATATTCACAATCTTTCAAGGGGGTTTTAGAACCCTTTTTTTATCTCATCTCTCATGAATTCAGTTGCAAGTTGGCTGTTCAGCACCATCCCAGTGGGACTGTGGCACTTGGCTTTTTGGCTGCTGTGTTCCAGTGTTTGGAAGTGAGCAGAGCTGCAGAGCTTTCTGGAATATTGTATAGATTGGAATGCAGCAGAGTAAATTCGATCAGTTTATCCAACGTGAGGGACAATAGATTCTGTTCAATTGAGGTAATTTCCATAAACTAGCAAAGCTGTTTTGAAGTGTTTGCTGTTAAATATGCAGTTAAATATTACCTTTCTATGGTGGTATCCTTGCTAATGCTATGAATAAATATAGGAATGCTTCAGAATGCTAAACACCTTTTAATTTCTGTGGACCACAGTATTTTTTGTGGTGGGACTATAATGACACTTTGCAAGGTAGGAGTGCCTTGGGAGGGTTTGCAAGCAGGAACAATTCACCTGGGGTTAACTTCTCAAGCTGTGTATTGAGAGCAGTTGCCACTGTGGTAAGGCTTTGTGTAGCAGCTGACACAGTGGTCTCTGCAGAAGACTCTGTTCCTTCCACTGATGAGATCTGACCTTGCTGATGTGCAAAAATAAATCATTTATTCTTGAAGAAACTCCTTGCCCTTGCAGCAGGACTGGGAAAATGTTTTAAGACAGCAGCTGCCCCAGGAAGAGCTCCAGTGGCTGTCACAAGCACGGAGCTCATAACACGAGTCGTATTTCAAGCTTCAGAACAAGGATCGATTCCTCCCTTATTGTGCCGTTTATTATCAAAAAGCTTTCATGCATTTAAAAATAATTATTGAATGCTAGCCTTACTATAATTTACCACAAATATCATTGCAGCAGGAGGCATTGATTTTCAATAGTGTCCCGTGGTTTGTGTCTCGTGCTGCAGGATCAGCTACAAGACCGCCTATCGCAGGGGGCTGCGCACCATGTACCGGCGGCGCTCGCAGTGCTGCCCCGGCTACTACGAGAGTGGGGACTACTGCATACGTATGTACACAGGGCCCTGGCACCTCTCCCTGGGGCTTTGCAGCAGCTGGGGATAAATTCAATTTTTGTTGCATTAGGGTTGATTTTCAGGGCTTTCAGCTGGCGCTGATCGCAGGCGGAATTGCGGGGACGGAATATTTGGGGTGGTTTGGATACGTGCATCTCAAGCACAGAGGGAGAACTTGGCTGAAGCCATTGGGGAGGGAGTTAATGAAGTCCCTTAGTGCCTTCTTGAATCAGAGCTTACTTTGGGGAGTAATTAATGCAAGTATTCACCAGTGTTAAGGAATTAGGGGAACTGAGAGCACTCAGGAATAAACTACCACATAATTTAAGCAGCAGTGTAAAGGTTCTGCCTCTTACCTTTGAAAGTTCTTACTTCAAGAGTTCAATGAGTTAAAATCTCTTTTTTTTTTTTCACAATGGTTCCCATCAACAATTTAACTTTTTAAAGCTTCTCAAATGTCAGAAGAACTTTCTCCCAGCTGTACTGTATAAATAAATACAGAGCTCTGGAGTGTTTTAGGTCAATATGAGGGGGGACAAAAATCAAAATGGATCTTTCAGCATGCCTAAGAGCTTTGTTAATTAAAAATACCCTGTACATTAGTGTCACATGTTTTCAGTATTGCAGCTTTCTGAGTGTTCTGCATGTGCTCAAAAGGAGAGTGGAGATGGGACCTCTTGTCTAAGTCCTCTCTTGTGAGATTATGACACCAGAAAAACACAAAGAGGTTTTGATCAGCATCAGAATCCAAATTTTATTAACAGGTTTATAATGCCATGGAATAAATGTGAAAATGATACAATTATCTAGCTAATTTCAAATATTTTGGCACTGTGCTTTATAGCTATTTCTTTTTAGCTCTGTTGATGTTTTTATCTGAGTTCCTGTAACTCGTATTGTAATGCATGAGCAGCTGAAAACCATGAATGGACCCTGATCTCATTTTCAGTGACCTTTCTTCCAAACAGTTACATTCAAGGGGTTTGGGCTGTGAAAAATCACCAGCCCTTTGAGATAAGGCATTAGAATTATTTTACAGAAAGTGTAATAAGTTGATCTTTTGAAGTGCAAAATGCTCTTAGTCAAGTCCTGAAAAACATTTATTGCAACCTATTGTCTTTGCTGGAATCCTTCCTGTGGTAAGTATGCACCTACCTATTGACATCTCAGGTGTCAATACCATGTCAGCAGTTGTTCCACACACTTTTATTACAGTCTTGAATTTCATGACTCAGAATCCTGTCTGTCACAGAGCATATTTATTATCACTTTTCTCCCTGCAATCTATTGATTTTTTATTTTTAATTTTTTTTTAATTACCGTACTGTCGCAGCAATAAATCTCTCCAGACTTTCTGATTCTTTGAAGATATTAACATTTGTTTTGAGGTGTTTTTTTTGTTAGTATTAATACTTAGTGTTTTGCTGCTGCCAGGCAAATTTTATCTTTCTGTGGTGGAGAAAGAACAGCATACACTGAAATTTTGCTAATGCAGAGCAGGCAGCAGGTATCTGGTCAGACCAAGAGCCCCGTGTTTGACACAGAGCAGATAATAGTTACACTCTCTCTGCTGTTTACATGTGCAGGAGTCAGGTTCTTGTATTTCATTATCAGCCTGGTGTGTGCTCAGGGACATCTGCTCTCCGTCCTTCCCGGAGATCGGAGCAGCAAAAGCAGCCAAGGGGGAAATGATGTCAGGGAAGAACTTCTCCATCTTGATGGATTCCAGATGCTTGGACTTATTATTTTGCTACTACAAATAGCCACACAGCAAAAAACACCCAAAACCAAACAGAAAACCTCCTTGAAATTCTCTGAGCCCTCAAGCAACAGTTTGGAGGCCCAATATTTTGCTAATGGGATCCTTTTCGTGTCACCCCTTTGGTTTGTAACACATCAAGCCCTGATCCCATTTCTTTTGTTTTGTTTTTCCACAATATGTTCCTGTGCCAACAAGCAAATTCTCTCATTCATCATCCTTTGCAGTCAGCAGTAAATTCCATTTTCATTCCTGGAGGCACTTCTCTGCTTTTGCCTTTTTCCATCCCATTTCTTGCTTCTCTTTACACTGGTATTTTTTTTGCTGTTTCCTAACGAGGCTGTCCAGTACTCCTGTCCCACGTTCCTGCAGACACATTCAGTGCTGCTCCTCTCAAGGCAGCTGCTCCAAGAGTGGCCAGGACACCAAATTCTGAGCTTTTCCTGAGCTGTCCCTGGCAGGAAGGGAGGGAAGCTCCAGCCCTGCAGAGAGGGCTCTCCCTGCCCAGCCAGCCCTTTAAAATCCATTCCATTAGCAATCATGGAAGCCACTACAACATGGGGAGGAGGGATACATCCTGCAGTGAGTCTGATGATCAAAAGAAAGTTTGATTAAAAAACAGTGTGTAGATTAAAGGCTAATTGGTTCTTCTTTCATTAATAGCAGTCTTTATTTCTTGCAAAAGTTAAATGGCTTTGTAATTAACAGTGACATGTTTAGACTAGAGAGGGCTGAGTTTAAATCTCTATTAATGACTGTTTCTTGGATTTTAAAACAGAAGTGAAGGCTTTCAGCTACTGTTTTGATCTTCTCCCTTTTCATTTACTAACTTTCAAAAGGATGTCAGATGTATGGCTTTATCTTTGTCCTCCTGTTGGGGCTTACTAAATAGATTAAGTCTAATAAAATCTACCCTCAGTTCTAAATAATCATGTTGATCCAGAGCTTCTTGCTCTGCCACTTCTCTGGTGTCTTCTTTGCCTTTTTGGCATCTGTATGTGCTGCTACCCAAATAAAATGTGGAATTCAGGCACAAGGTCCAATAATTTAACTGATTGCCTGGTAAATTATACAACTGGCCCGTCCATTAATACTTAGTCTAAACAGTTTTAGGGTATGAAATTGTCCTTGTGCCTCCAAAAGGCCTGAAATATTTTGGGGTTGCAGTGGTATTCAAAAAATTCCCCCTGAAAAATGCTGCAAATGCACATCTGCATTTTTTTCCCCTCCACTGATATCTTAGAAATGTTGTTACCATTGTGGGAGCTTTGCAAAACGATTCCCCTTCTCTGAATGTTCTTACACTTGACAGAGCTTTTCCCTGAGCTGTCCCTGAAAACAAACAGCACAGTCTGGGCAGTAAATCAGAGCAGCTATGATTTACTGTACTTTGTATGCTAAGGTAAGCTTTTGGCAGAGCAAATGCATAAACTGCAGAAAATCTTTTTTTAAACAACCACAGGGTTCAACTGCCCTTCAAGGTTTTTGTAAGGATGTTTTAAAATTATATTGCCTAGATTAGTATCTGTGGTAGATAAAGCAGCTCTGAATACTTTGCTGCTCAAAAAAAAAAAAGAGAAAAAGAATATTACATGGCTCTTTTGTGCTCTTTAGCCTGTGAGGAGATGGTAATTGAATAGTTCCCTTTAAGAATATGTCAGGTGGAAAGATGCCCTGTGTGCTAAATGGATGCATTTTTGTCTGAGAGACCAATGCTTTGTTCAGTCTGTCCATTTTAATCTTATTCTTGCACAACAGATTTGTACAGAGGAGACACTTGTGGGGAACAAAGGGTCAGAGACCTGACATCAGAGGGAAGGCAGATGGGACTCTGAGCCACAGCTACTGCCAGCTGACTTTTGGGCAGAAAAGCACCAACCATGAAACAAAATTTGGGAATTCACCTTTTCTTCACAGACCGAGTTGAGCTTTTAAGTGTTTTCTTCACTCTCCTACCTTACACTCTTTTTCTAATGTCTAAATCTATGCAATGTGACAGGATGTAATAATGACAGGATTAGTGATTTAACAATCTGATTTGCTGCCATTTATCTGTCTTTCAAACCTGCCAAAATTCAGTAGAGTTATAGATGGACCATTTCATGGTGCTTTCCTTTCTTGGCCAAGGTATTATTGATCTCAGATTGTTTCTCAACATCCAGCTTTCCACATTACAATTGTCACAAGCATCAGCAGGGCTCCCTGACTCTGACAAATCCTTTTCTAAAGAAACTGTTGGTCTCACTGCTTGAATCTCAGTTTTTACCCACAGTGGTATTTCCCTCAGGCCAGAGGCTGGAGACATTATTGCATTAACATGTATTTATTTACCCAGCTTTTCAACTCACCTTTGTTTGATGCCTTTAATGAATTTCAAAAACAAATGAGGAATGTTCTTTTAATAGCTGACTTGGGGAAATTATGCAAATATGAGGCCTGATTGTTTTCAGGAGTTTAAATAATGTTTCATAAATTCTGTAATTGCAATAGCCTTGCCAGCTTCCTAGTGGGATGTGTGCATTTATAGTGCAGCCATAGGAACATTCCCACCTCAGGACTGCATTCCCATTTACAGGGCTCTGTGTCTAGTGCAGTTTTTGTACTCTTTGACAAGGCTGCCTTATTGGAGCCATATGGTTGGATTGTTAAACATCTGTAGCATAGGAGTAACAATTCCAGAGCTTCCTGCCATCTGGATGAATTACAATCCCTGCAATTCCACACATATGTTCCAGCAGCACACCGACACCACAGTGCAGTGTGCTCATGATGAGAAGAAAAAGAATGGCTTCTGTGATCAGTGCAAAAGTTGTCCACTCCTAGAAAATGTTGAATCAGCGGCTTAACCTTCCTGAATATTCATAATGTTTGTTCATATGTCAGATTTGTTGATTTTTTTCACTTTATAAGGCAGTAGCTCATTAGCATTTTAGAAGAAATGTTTCCCCCCCTTCTCACCTCAATTTCAAATTCCTTGTGGTGAGTATTCCTGTAACTTGAAAATATATTGTTTGAAAGCTGCTGGACTTTTAAAATACATTTTTCTTATCTTTATAGACACACATTAAAGCCAGTTCTGGTGCTTTCTGTGAGAGCCTTACTGTTACATTATTCAAGTACAGAGTCCTGTACATCAATAATGCAACCTAAATTAGGGGAAATGCTATAGCAGGACATAGATACTTCCTATCAGGGGACATTCTTTTTCTCTGTCTGATTTGGGATGTGTGACAG